GGGACGGGGGAGGGGGCGGGGGTCTGTAAGGAGGTTTAGTGATCGGAGAGGGAGGAAACCGAGGCTTGTGAGGGGAAGGGGCTTTGGTAAGGCAGGAGCTGCACCGGGGAGACATCGCAGGGAAGAGGTCTCGGAGAACTGCCCAGGCTGTGGCTGCAGGGGTCGGTGCCCCCCTAGAAAGGACGAGTCTTCCTTGGTAGTTTCGGAGCCCTTAGTACTGCGGAGTGTGCACCTGAAACAAGAGCTGGGGCCCAGGGTCTGTCCCGGGGCTCCCTGCTGTGTGCTTGGGCGGGGAGGGACTGGCGTGAAGTCAGGACGCCCGGACCGATGTTAGATGGGGGCCGGGAGCCGGGTGGTAACTTGCTCGTGCCCTCGGCCTTGCTCGAGCCGTCCCTTTAATCCTCACAGCTACTCAGCAAGGCAGTTCTCATCATTTCATTTCTACAGATGAGGAAACCGGGGCTCTGAGACGCAAAATGCTGGCTCCAAGCGGTAGAGCAAGGCTTAGGTCTAGGGCTCCTAAGGTTTCAGGGGCCCCTTGTCCCACACTTCTCACTAGGTCCCAGGGCTGAGCTGCCTGACCCCTGGGCCCCCATCTTGGCTCTGTCACCAGCTTCCTCATATGTAGCCTCAGGCAGCTCCCTGCTCCAAAGCCGGTTTCCCCTTCTGTAAACTAGGGGTCAAATCCTTCTAGAGGGACAGGTGGAAAGCACAAAGCTTGGGGGCGGGGGTGGGAAGGGGAGCCTGGAGGAGGCATAGGGTTCAAAGTCTGCTGGGCTGGAGCCTCCCCGCCCCTGTTGCTCCTTAGCGGCCTCCCAGAAGCAGAGAAGTGGAGGATGGGGGGAAATGGGGGAAGGGGGATGGAGGGCAGGAGCGATGGGGGGCCAGGAGAGGGCATCTTTCTCACGCGCCCAGTGTCCCCTACGAGCAGGCATGCTTAGCATCATAAGCAGTTCCAGTTCGAGGCCCCCTGGGCCTGACAAGGCAGAGCTCAGCAGTTGCCATGGCAATGGGTGAGGGAGGGGAGTGGGCCATCTCAAGGTGGGTTTCTGTGCATGGAAGGTGGGGGTGGGGCCGGAGCTGGGAATGAGGTCTCTGGGGTAGGAAGGCAGATGAGCTCTGAGAGGGTCTCACCCCCGGAACTGGCCTCTAAGCACCCCCGCACTGGTAACTAGGTCATCTTGGCCTCTGGTTGGTGGCGGCTGGGAGGAGCAGTCCCCTCCGTCTGTCGCCTCTCTCCGCATATCCGCAGCAGCTGGCTCTAGTGCCTGGCTCCAGGCTCTCACCAGCCCAGGGCCGTGAAGCTCTTGGTTTGTGCCCACCTGGGGGCCCAGGTGCCCAGTTCCCTGGCCAGCCGTGCCTCCATCCCCGGGGGAGGGCTACCAAGTGCTGTTGGTGTGCTTCTGGGATCTCCTTCCTCACCCTGCCCCGCCCCTCACCCTGCCTGCCCTACTCACCTCTCCTTCCCACCGCTCCCTACCTCTCCCCTGCCTTCCCCTTGGTGGTTAGTGTAACAGCTCTGACCTGTCAGGCATCTCTTGAACCCAGCTCTCAACCCACCCTATAAGCTCAGCCCCACACTTGGGCACTGTCCTTCACAGCCCTGCCTTGCACATCAGGGGCCCTCTGCGTTTGAGCATTCCCCTTCAGAGTCCTCCAGAAAACCCCTGTTCATACTTCAGGACCCCTCTCAACTCCTCCTGAGGGCTTTCCCTGATGCCCTCGGGTAGGTTCTCAGCTCCTGTTCTAGCCCAGGTCAGCTGGAAGAAGCCCTTGATGTAGCGGTTGCTCCTGCAGGGGCTGCTTGTCCCGCCTGACTATGAGGGCAGGGACTATGACTTGATGTTCCTGGTGTCCTGAGGGACCCAGCCCATAGTAGAGGTGTTGAGGACCTTCCCACTTAATCCTCCTATTGGCTCTAAAGGTAGATATACTCAGTTTGCAGATGGGGAAACTGAGGCTCGGGACATGGAAGTCATTTGCTAAGATCACACAGCAGATAGATAGAGAAGTCAGGACTCAAACCTACTCTGCTGCTGACAGGCCAGGAATCCTAGCCCAACCAAGGTTGCAGGCTTGCTGTGGGGCTCAGGGGGACTGAGCCTCCCAAATCCCATGTAAAACACACAGGGATGGACAGCAGGGTTTGGAGATCACAGGAGGCCCCCACTGAGTACCACTGGCAGGGGTGGTGGCGAGCCCATCTCACTGTGCCTCACCAGCTCCAAGCCTGGGTCCCAAGCAGCATCCCCTCCAGCCGGGGCTCCTACACTTCTTAGCACGGGGAGTTCACCACCTCTCATAGTGGTCCACCATGACTGAGACAGGTCTGAGGAGGGAGCCGTCCTCACATAGCTGCCACCTGCCTCCCTGCCACTTCCATGCCTGGGTTTTTACTTCTCTGAAGGGCACACAGCACAGCTGCACTCCCACCACCAGCTTTCAGGGCCTGCCCGCCCCTGCCACGCTCCTTCCACTGTCTTCCATCCCTTGGTACCTGGGTCAGTTAGGAAAGGAGCGGAGATCACAGTGACCAGTAACCCACTGGCTCCCATGCCTAGTGGCCCTGGGGAGAGGCCCAGGACTATTCTGGGGTTTTCCTGATCCTCCCCCTCCCACAGCCTAGAAACTGCCAAGGCCCTAAATATAGAGGCCCCACAAATGACCAGATTGGGTCAATGGTGACTGGCTTAGGGAACAAGTGGGAGAGGGGACCGGCCAGGGTCCTCCCTTGGGGGGAGGTCACTGGGCAGGACACAGGTCAAAACAGCTCAGCAGGGATCATTGTTGGGCCCAGGTCCTTAAACTTGGCTTTGGCCCACTCTTGACACTGTCTCCTCCGCACCTCTTTGATCCAGCCACCCAGCCCATAGCTGTCCTTGTGCACTTGGGTTTTGGTTCTGCCTCCAGGCTTTTGTCCACTCCAGTCATCCTGCCCGTGACGGGAGCCCCAAACCTCATCCTCATTCATAGATTCATTCATTGAGTTAGAGCTGAGCAGCGAGCAGTGCTGGGCTCACTAGGGTGAACAGCAGGTTCCCTGCCCTGAGGGGCCCTGAGGCCAGGAGGCCCCAGCAGGGCAGAGGGGGCCCTGCGGTGGGGGACAGCCCCAAGAGGTCCCCTGATGTTCAGCTAGCACTGACCTCTCCCTGCGTCCTCTGAACTCCTTGTACAGATACACGTGTGGCTCCTGGGTCCTGCGGCCCAGTCCAGCACCTGGGCGCACAGGGGCCTGATTGCTAAGAAGCCTGGAGTCCCCTGGCTTGGGTTGGTGGGATGCAAGCTGGGTGTTCACAGGGGCTCCCTGGAGGAGAAGGCTGTTGAACGATGGCGGGGGGAGGGTGCAGGCAGAAGAACAGAGTCTCAGGCAGAGCTAACATGTACTGAGCCCTTGCAAGGGGCTGGCCCTTTCATATCATCCCAGGGACCCAGCACGGCTACCCTGTGAGCTGGGATTACAATCCCCACTTTACAGGTGGGAAAACTGAGTCTTGGCAGACATTTCCTGTCTGTGTCAGGAGAGCTTTGGGAGATGTTCACCCCACGTGGCTTCCTTGCCGGAAGAGCCCTTTTGAGAAGGGAAGCAGAGCTTGGAATTCCCCAGTCTCCAACATGTAAACAAACTTCCTTTCTGTGGACGCCTGGCCGGAGGGGCAATTCCAGGAACAGTCCTCATTCTCCCCTGCCTTTTTGCCTAGTACCAGCCCTAGGCCTGGCTGGAATCCCCTTTCAACCCCAGGAATCCCCCACCAAGCTGAGACAGGTGGAACTGAGCGGTTCGGATTTGCCTCCGCCAGTCCTCCCCAGATGGCTGGGAGCGCCTGAGAGCAGACTGTGGCCTGTGTTCGTTCGTTCATTCATCCATTTGTTCATCCACTCCTTCAGTACACAGTTACAGGAGGACCCCTGTCTTGTGCCACGCCCTGTCCTGGGGACACAGAGTGGCACCCATCCTCAGGTAGCTTGTAGTCAAGTCAGGGGTCAGGTGATGACAGTGCATCACTATGAGTACTGAATACTGGGACAGAGGGAAACATGCAGAGGGGCAGGTGGCGGCGAGGTCCCCTGTAGACCTTACTCCCTGTCTCGGGGGCAGGGAGGTTCCTTAGAGGAGGGGGTTGGGGACAGCAGGAGCGAAGGCTCAGAGGGGAGAGTAAGGGGCTAGACTTAGGTGTTGAGGGCCAGGGTGCTGGCTGCTTGCCTGGGGCTGTTGCTTGGATGCTGTTTTGGGGCGAGGCAGGGGTGGGATGGGAGAGGGCAGGGAGGAGGAGCAGTGAGCAGTGCCCCTGCCCCCACCCTGCACATGGAAGGAGAGCCTTGGTGGGGGTCCCTGCCTTCTTCTCACCAGGCCCCCAGGCTGAGGGTGGAGCACATGTTTTGGCCCAGGACATGGTGCCTCAGCCTTCACTCTCTTTTCTGGGGTCACTGAGGGCCCCTGGCAGGGGGCAGGAAGCTGCTCCAGAGACCCCTCAGCTGGCCTTCCCACCAGCCCCTCACCTGTCTGTCCTGCAGCACTGGCAGCAGCGACCCCTACTGCATCATGAAGGTGGACAATGAGCCCATCATCAGGTACTGCCCACCCCCAGGACTGAGGGAGGGCTGAGCCCCCTCACAGAGCCCCCCCTCTCCTCCCAAAAGATGTGAATTTTGTAGGGAGGGCTCAGAGCACCTAAGCCCCTGGGGCCCCCACTGTGCTGTGACTCGCCCACTAGGAGATGAGAAAAACCTACCTGTAACTGGTCTTGCTAATTACTGACCTTATTGCGCATCCAGGGACATGGTCAGGGGCCTCTCGCCTACCTACGTTCATCTTTACAACCCAGGAGAGATGGAGGATGATGGTGATGATGATGATGATTAGTACAATAGCGATCATTTATGGAGCTTTGTCTCTGCCAGGTCCCATACTAACCCTTTTCCAGCCCATTTAATTCTTACAATGAGCTAGATGCTATATCACCAAACCCATGTACAGATGAGGAAACTGAGGCTCAGAGAGATTCAGTAACTTGCTGAAGGTCACATACCCAGTAAGTGGCAAAGCCAGACTGGAACTCAAACCTGGCCAACCCCACAGTCTGCTCCTTCTCCCCTCCCTGCTCCCTGCTCAAACTTGGGCCCCTCTCCCTGACAGTCCCACAGTGATTGTCCCCCACGATGACTGGTCCTCTCCAGGCTGGGCATCCCCAGCCTGCACCAAGAAGGTCCCCTTCCCCTGGATGTCCCTTCCTTCATGTTCTCCATGGTCTCTGGGTAGAGTCTTTGCTGTCCTGTCCCCTTCCTCACCCAGGCCCCTGCCTCTAAGTTCATGGCCAAAGCCACTCTGCTATTCTGCCCACTGAGTGCCCATTGCTGACCACTGGCCAAGGCTGCCAGACTCCTGGTTCTTCCCCACCTGCAGGCAGGGCCCCAGAGTCTCTCCAGACCACGGACCCCCAGGGCAGTGGGCATGGTGGCTCTGATTGTTTCAGTACGGACAGAGAAACCAAGGTCACAGAGTGCAGATGGCCTGTCTAAGTAGTGGTCATGGTAAGGGTGATCCTCTGAGCCTTCGTCTGGGTCCTTGGGGGCTTCCACTTCCCCCACCCGCATGCTCTGCTGAGTCCCATGAGTTGAAGGCTCTGATCCTCGGGGGTTTGGCCAGAGCTGGGTGAAGCTGGGAGGCGAGGCTGTGGTCCCAGCTGTTCTTCTGTGTGACCTGAGGCCAGCTACTGCCAGCTGGGGTCTGTTTCCCCACATGTAAAATGGCCTGGTGGATGCAGCCCTGTGCACCATCCAGGGCAGAGAGGATGGGCAGGGAGTGAGGTTGGTGGTGACATCCAAAGGCACAGCGTGTTGTCACGGGGTGTGGGGGGAGATGTGAGGAAGGTGGGCTCCAGCCATGCAGCCCACCTTGCCTCAGCCCAGGGGTGGCCTGGCACATGTTGAGGGTCCTTTCCTGCAGGACGGCCACTGTGTGGAAGACCCTGTGCCCCTTCTGGGGTGAGGAGTATCAGGTGCGCATGCCACCCACCTTCCACGCTGTGGCCTTCTACGTCATGGACGAGGATGCCCTCAGGTGGGTGCCCCCTCTTCAGCTGGGCCCAAGCGTGGCCACCTGTCCTGCTCCCTGCCCATGGCACTGCCGGACTGCTGGCTCCTGGGCATCTCTTTGTGGCCCAGAGGGAGGGGCGGGCCCTGAGCATGCGGGATTCACGGTGCCCTCGCCACAGCACACGTGGGTATGTGCGGGGATGTAGGCCCAGGTGGGCTATGTGTGCATGGGGATGTGAGCTATGAGATGGGCACCCAGAAAGCATGAACTGGGCATGCGTGGGCACCCATGTTGGTCCCTGTGCTGAAACACATGATGATTAGTGTCCAAGGCTACAGAAGGGATCTAGCCTCACTGGGCTGTGCTGCAAGTGACTGGAGTGTCAACCTTCCTGCTCTGCAGGAGGGGCCCTGAATGTGGTGGGAGGGGGTGCTGGGTTCCCAGCAAGTAGACGCTGCAGCCCTGCCCAGCTCTGACTCCCATCTCCACCCTCCAGCCGCGACGATGTCATCGGGAAGGTCTGCCTTACAAGGGACACTCTAGCCTCTCACCCCAAGGGTAAGGTCCCTGAGAAGGAGTCCATGGCTAGCACCTGCTTCCCCTCCCCTGGCCTCTCTCCCACTCAGAGACCTTCCCTCTAGGCTCCTTCAGGTCCCCTGCTCAGGGAAAGCCATTTCTCCCCTCCCCAGAAGCCTGCACCCCCTGCCTCTGTGCCCTGGGCCCATTCATCTTCCCTAGGGCAAAGAGGGGCTGCTGATGGTGGGATCTGAGGTCTCTACGGGCAGAGGGAGGGGCCACCTTCCTAAACTCCATTGCTGAGGTGTAGGGATCCCTCTTCCCAATGCCACTATGTCCTAAGCCTGAAGGGTTGGCCTGGAGCCAGTTCAGGCTGGGGAGCACTCTGGATTATTCCTGGGATGCAGACATTGTTTGGAGGTGTCAGCCCTGTCGCAGCCTCACTGCGTGACCCTGGGCAGGTCTTGCCTTCCCTGGGCTTCTCTGAGGATTCAGACCAGGAGCTCTAGGTGCTCCAGGCTCTGCCACCTGAGACTCTGTGACCCTCTTGCCACCTCCCCGACACACACCTGCTCCTGTCTGTGAGACTGGGGCAGGCATGGGGCGGGGGGGGCGGGGAGGAGGGGAGAGGGTGCAGGTTCTGCTGACTCATGCAGCCTCTCAGTCCCTGCCAGGCCAGAGGCCTCTCCTGCCTGCAGCCCCAGCCAGCCTCTCGGGGTCTCTTGTAGCTTCCCCATCTGGGCCTCAGATCCTCCTCCCAGCAGCCCTAGGGGAGAGCCACTCTCTTCCTGTTTTAAGATGGGGGAACTGAGGACAGAGAGGGCAGTCCTATGACGAGTTAGGAATAGAGCATGGCACAATAGAGAGGGCACAGGCCTTGACATCACTGACTTAGATTCTAATCCCAGCTGTTCCAGCTGCTGCTGTTCAGCTTCTGAGCCTCAGTTTCCCACCTACCACTGGGGGTGACAGCTCCTGCCTCACGGGTGCTTGAGAAGATTCTAAGGGGATTACAGAGGGGCCACATGGTGCCGGGCGGGGCTCAGGGTGGAGGGTGTGGAGGGAAAGAGCCAGGCCTCTGGCTGAGCTGCAGCCCCATAGGTTTCAGCGGGTGGGCCCACCTGACGGAGGTCAACCCAGATGAGGAAGTGCAGGGTGAGATCCACCTGCGGCTGGAGGTGGTGCCAGGGCCCCGGGTCCGCTGGCTGCGCTGCTCTGTGCTGGAGGCCAGGTGAGATGGGGTACTGGGAGTGGGCAGTGGGGCCCATGGAACTAGAGAAACCCGCTGGGCAGAGCCTCCTCTTCCCTGACCTCTACCTCCTGTCCCAGGGCCTCCTCCCATCCAAGCCTGCTCTCAAAAGCAGGGAGGTTTTCCCGACTCGAGGATGTGTCCTCCCTGCAGGAGGTAACTTCCCTTCAGGGGCATATGCCCCTAAAGGAAGGGATGATGTTCTAATGGTGGAACTTCAGGCATCATAGAGCAGTGGGGATTGGGGATGTGGGGGACCCTGAACTGTGACCCTGCAGCCCCGATGCACCAGTGGTAAGGCTGGGCTTCCCCTGGGTTTAACCCCAATATGAACTTGACCTGATGTACGTATGCATGTGTAGGTTCTCAGTGGAGTGGGGGCTGAAGATCTGCTGGAAATCTCTAGATGGGAGGGGTGGAGGTTGTCCCTAGGAGGTACAGTGGCTTGGATGGCTCCATGGGCCTGAGTCACCTGTGACAGGACTACCGCCTGGCCCCAGGGTATTTTTAGCTGCAGGCTCCGCTCCCGTCTGGGCCTGGGTGTGAGTCATACCCATTCCATGAGAAGCGCCTTCCTTTCTGGCTCCAAACCCACCTCCCTAAAGACCCTCCCTGCCTCTGGGTGGGCGGGTGGCCCCCAGCCAGCCAGCACCTATGGAGCAAGTGGGCCCCCCACCCTGGGGTGGTTAGCCTGTGCAGGAGGAAGATTTCTTTCCTGCAAATGAGGGGTGTGGGTGGATGACGGGCAAGTCGTGCATTCTGTGGCTTCCCCAGCTTCATTATCTGCCCTGGGGCTGGGATGTGGAAGAGGCCCAGCCAGGCTGGATAGAAAAGGGCTGGACTTGGGTAGAGCCACATTCACGCCCCTGCACTCACTCACTGTTACCCACGATCCATCCCCTGCTCACCCGCGTCCTTGCCCTCAGCCCTGCCTGGCACCAGGCTGTCTGGGGCGTGGGCGTGCACATGTGTGCACACGCAATGCTGCCAAGCTCTGGGACTTAGGGGCTGCTTCTCCTGGGGGCCCACTCCCTCCCACAGAGATGGGAGACACCGAAGCATTTCTCCCTGGCTGTCCCCTCCCTCCAAGAATCTCCTGTCTCAGCCAGCCCTCTCCTCTTGAGGCTGTTGGGGACACAGTGGCCGGGCCAGTCTGGTCTCCTCTTAGCCAGCCCCAGTGGTAGGAAAGATATATGTCCAGGCCTTTCTTTGGAGTGGGGGACCCTTGTCCCCATTGTCCTTAGCAATGAGACTCTGCAATGGAATCCTGAGACAGCATCAGAAGCCCTGTTTGCTGCAGAGAAAGAAAACTTCCTCCTTATCTTTCTGGGCAGATTCTCCAGGCCAGACCTTGAAGTTGTTAGACAGTTTTGAGGGGAAAGAAAGGCAGGCACGAGAGGTATAAGACTTAAAATACGGAAAAAGAAAAGGGCAGAAAGTAGTACATACAGTAGCCAGGAGAAGGGTGGGCTTTGTTCTTCCACAAAGGCTTCTACACCAGGGTGCTGTGACCAGGTTTGGGCTTTGGAAAGATCCATCTGTGGAGAGAGGGAAGGTTGACTGATCAGGGCTATATGTCTCCCTCCCCAGGTATGGAGACATTATTGGGCAGGTCTTCTAGAACCCCCTTATCTCTCTTAGCCTCAGTGGGGTAGGCTATCTTCTCCCTTTTACTGATGAGGAAACCGAGGCCCAGAGAGGCTATCCCAGCTCTGGGCTGCCCTGGGAACAGAGGGCAGGGGCCGTGGCCTGGGCTGGTCCCCCGCTGCCCTTGTCTCCCCTGGCCCCTGGAGTGAGGTGCAACAGCTGGTCCCCTGCTGCCCAATCAGAAGGAGCTGTGGCTTCCACCTTGGGGGGTTCTTGGCCACATGGGGACCATGGGGTGATCACTGCGGGAACAGAGGCACAGGAAAGGGAGAGGCACTGTCTGCAGCCAGCCAGCTTGCCAGGGGCAAGGTGAGTCCAGGCCTTTCCAGCCTGGTGTGGTTACCTCACAGTGGTGACAGGTTGGGGGGCAGCCTCGGGTGACAAGTGGATGATCCACTGTACCCCCCACACCATCAGGGACCTAGCCCCGAAGGACCGGAATGGCGCATCTGACCCCTTTGTCCGAGTGCGCTACAAGGGCCGGACGCAGGAGACCTCGGTGAGGACGCGGTGACAGGTCAGGCTGGGACCGCAGTCTTACGGAGGAGGCCTGGAGAAGTGGGGCAGCCTTTCTGAGGGGACGTAATGGGTCCCAGCCCTTCTGGCCCCAACCCCTTTTACTCCTGGCCATGTGGGGGGTGGGAGTAGAGTGGGGAGGGGATCGGGACAGCTGGAGGGGGTTAATCCAGAAAGTCCAACAGTTCCACCCTGCTTTCCTCACCTCCAGGAAACAGGCAGGGTGGCAGGCTCAGTTCTGGGGGGGGTGCTGAGATCAGCAGTTGCTACCATTTCGTGGTGTGGCTTTGGACAAGTCCCTTCCCCACTCCAGGCCTCAATTTCCCCACCTGAGAAATGGGTGGAGGCTTGGACAGGAAGTTTTTGCCAGGGTTACTGCAGAGCCTCTGAGGAGAGGAGTTTGCAGGGAGCCCAGGGGAGGTGATCGGGGTGGCTCTGTCCTTAGCTGGGCCAGGGGAGCCCCAGGGAGTCAGTCTCACCCCCTCCTGCTCCTTTCTGGACAGATTGTGAAGAAATCATGCTACCCACGCTGGAATGAGACTTTTGAGTTTGAGCTGGGGGAGGGGGCCACAGAGGAATTGTGCGTGGAGGCCTGGGACTGGGACCTTGTCAGCAGAAATGACTTCCTGGGCAAGGTGAGTATCCCACCCTACCCCCTGCCCACACACACACACAGGCTGCACCTGCTGCCTTCAGCACCTGGTCTCCATCCCAGACATCCCACCCTTGGAAGGTACCCCTCCCCCTGAGAGAATGGTACTTGGTAAGGAAGAGACCTGAGTGTCTCAGCCCCAGCATGATGCCTCTGTCTGCCCTGCCACCAGGTAGTGTTCAATGTCCAGAGACTGGGAGCAGCCCAGCAGGAGGAAGGCTGGTTCCGGCTGCAGCCCGATCAGTCTAGGAGCCATCAGAGGGATGAGTGAGTGCCTGGGGCTTGGCAGCCCTAGGTTCCCTTCAGCCCTTGCCCACCACGCTAGATCCTCCTCACCCAGGCTGGGCCCCACCTCCTCTTCCCCATGGTCCTGCACCCAGCCCTGCCCTCTGAGCTTGGAGGCGCTACAGGTCTCCTGCTTTTTGCCTTCCGGCAGTTTCTAGAACAGGCCCTCAGACCCTTTCCCTTTAGGAGTTTCCCTGCAGACCTCAGACCAGCGTTCAAGTCCTGAGTTAGTGTCCTTGAGCTCTGACTCCCTCCCTGAGATTCTCCAGGAACAGCGTTGCCAGGTGAAAGGACACCCAGTGAAAACGGGATCTCAGATAAATGACAAATATTTTTTCAGTATAAGAATAACCATGCAATATTGGAAACATACTTGTACTAAAAATATTCCAATTTAACTGGGTATCTTGTGTTTTTGTTTGCTAAATCTAGCATCCCTGTCTAGGAAGCCCTTTGACTTGTGGGTTCCCACCCCCTTGGATGGTTCAGCTTTGCCTCCTAGCAGAAGGCTCTAGACCCTCATCCCCACCCTTGCCAGGGCAGGTGGCTGGTGCATGTCCGGCATCAAGGCATTTCTGTAGAACCAACCAAGGGCCGTCTGGACAGCTTCTCCTCAGAGTCAGGCTTGCGTGGAGTAGCAGGACCTCCGGAGCTGCCATGCTGTGCAGAGGGTGGTAGGGCCTTAGTGAATGTCAAGTCTTGGTCAGCACCCTCACTGGGAGCAATCAGGGCAAGGCAGCTTGGAAGTCAGGCCTAATGTGGTAAGTGGCTTAATCTGCTTGAGCCTCAGTTTCCCTGGCAGGTTGTTATGAGGGTTGGGATTTGCTCCCAGTGTCAAGTATACTCATGAAGGTACTACTATCTGGCAGTTTATGGACTTGAGTTCAGGGAGCCCAGCAGGCCTACATGGGTCAAACTTGGGGTCCACAGGAGCTGGGAGGTGGCAGGGAGCCAGGCCTCAAAGGCTTGGTGTTTCCATGAGTAGTGAGGCAGGAAAGGCTTTCCAAGCAGAGGACAGCACAGGCACAGCACAGGAGGTGGGGCAGTGCAGGGAGCCCACCCAGCACAGCGGAGGGCAGGAACAGAGGCTGGGAGGCTGGCCCTACAGGGGAGACCTGAGGCAATGGGAGGGGGCACGGCCTGGGGTGACCTGGGTCCCTGGTGGAGAGGTCACAGTCTGCCCGTTCCAGGGGCAACCTGGGCTCTTTGCACCTGGAGGTTCGGCTGCGGGACGAGACGGTGCTGCCCTCCGCCTGCTACCAGCCCCTGGTGCAGCTGCTGTGCCAGGAAGTGAAGCTGGGCAACCAGGTCAGGAGCCCTGGGGGAAGGTGGGAGGGTCCAGTGACAGTAGACCTGTCCTCCCTGTCCTTCTAAACCCATTCTGCAGAGCAGAAGACTGAGTTCTCAGGATGGCTTGGAGCTGGCCAGTTCCCAGGGCCCTGCCCCAGGCCATCCCTTGGGAAAGCATCCCTTTGCCCCATCATGCTCCAGGTCCCCATAGTGGATGATTATTGTATCTCCAAGCCCTGCCTCTCCCTACTACCTCCTGCAGGGCCCAGGGCAGCTGATCCCACTCATCGAGGAGACAACCAGTGCCGAGTGTCGCCAGGATGTGGCCACCAACCTGCTTAAGCTCTTCCTGGGGCAGGGGCTGGCCAAGGACTTTCTGGACCTGCTCTTCCAGCTGGAGCTGGGTCGCACCAGTGAGGCCTGGGAGGGAGCCAGTCCTAGGGCATGGTGGAGGAGGGAGTCCTCCTGTAGGAGGCTGACAGGTCAGATAGAAGGGAGGTGTGGGAAAGGGCAGAAGTGGGGCAGTGGGTTGGGAGGTGGCGATAAGGCCCTTTACTGAGGGGCCAGCTTAGAGCCCCCAGCCCCAAGGTCCTCTGTTTTCCTCCCCCAAAGCCTTGTCCCAACCCCCTACCTGCTGGAACCTCTGCTTTTAGGTGAGGCCAACACCCTGTTCCGGAGCAACTCTCTGGCCTCAAAGTCCATGGAGTCTTTTCTGAAGGTGAGTTTGTTTGCATGCCATATTGTTCTCATTTTGTAGATGACAATACTGAGGTCTAGAAAGGCCAAGAGCAGGGACTTTAAAGTGTCCTCTCTCTGCATCCAGGGCCCTTTAAGGCTAAGAATTTAATTCATTCATGGAGAAGCAATTTGTTCAACGGCCCTCCTTGTGCACCTGGGCTGATACAGCAGGCAGATGGTGCGGGGGTGGGTGGGGAGGCCAGCGGCTGGGATATATTAGGCAGCTGGAGGTGGGACACAGGACCAATGCGGCTCGCGGTGGCCCCCAGGTGGCTGGGATGCGGTATCTGCACGGTGTCCTGGGCCCCATCATTGACAGAGTGTTTGAGGAAAAGAAGTATGTGGAGCTGGACCCCAGCAAAGTGGAAGTTAAGGATGTGGGGTGAGGCCTGGGGAAACCCCTGGGGATGCAGCAGTGAGGGGGCGGAGGTGTTAGGCCCTGTCTGCAAATATGTGTTTATGGTTCTTTCTTCCCGTGTCTGTCGTTGCCCTGCCCACCTGTGTGTTGTGTCTAAGTCCGTGTCTCGGCTCTTGTGCCTCTGGGAGTCCGTGACCACGACCGTCTCTGCCACTCCGCCCGTGCCCACGCAGGTGCTCGGGGCTGCACCGCCCACAGACCGAGGCCGAGGTGCTGGAGCAGAGCGCGCAGACGCTGCGCGGCCACCTGGGGGCGCTGCTGGGCGAGCTCTGCCGCTCGGTGCGTGCATGCCCCGCTGTGGTGCGCGCCACTTTCCGCCAGCTCTTCCAGCGCGTGCGCGAGCGCTTCCCCAGTGCCCAGCACGAGGTGCGCCTTCTGCGGGCGGGCCCCGGGCGGAGGG